ATAATAGTCAAGATATGTATTGCAAACTAAACCTGACGATTACCCCACACTGGCAAAAAAAAAATCATTTGTTTATAAGGTCTACGATTTGTTGTTTGCTCAGGGCCCTGAAAAAATTCGAGACGGCCATGATGATCAATGTAAATAATATATACTACATTTGCCCAGTGCTAAGGACTACATTTATATTTTGCGTATTGATATTTGAATATTAATTATTATATCAAAACGTAATGCAAATTAAGTAAAAATAGCAAAAATACTTCTATTAGTGTCTTATAATACTAATAAATGACATTTGTAAAAAAAATTATACAAATATAAAGATATTTTTAATGTTAAGTTCAATGATGCAAAAGGTAAATGTCACTCAGGCATGAGAGAGTACTATATATTGCGATATATTTATAATACAATTAATTATGTTATAACATAGTATATAATATAGGGTGGAATTGCATGTTGAACATATAATATCAGCATTATACTCATTGCATATTAGTCATTGGATTAGAATTTTTAACCCAATAGCTTGTATTAAATTAAGGGTGTAATAGTAATTTTCATAATTTAGATAACTAACTCAAGCCTCATTATCCTTCCTCTTTGACACAATATTTGTTGGGAAAAACAAACGCACTCTTCCAATAGAATTAATGGGTGATATTGAGAGAGATGAAAAGAAATCAATTATTCATTATTCCAACCCCAATCAATCGTGCAACAAGCGGTGGAGACATCAAAGAGATTGCAATTTCAGGATGCATCATCGCCCTCACAAAGTTCAAACATTGTGGAACTGGAAATCGCTCAATAAAGTGAGTTACTTCTTGAAAATTGATTTGAAATCTTGAATATCTTTTGTGATTTATTTGGTTGAATTTATTGGATTCAGTTTATTGGATTAGATTATGGCGCATTTAGTCAAATTCGGATAATAGTTTATATAATTGTGTTAATCTAATTGTTTTAATTGTCTTTCAAGATTTAGATATTAAAATATCCATCAGAATCCCGTTCGGTGTGATAAGAATTTATTAAATATGCATTAGCGGTCGTATTTCAATTAAAACATTAAAATTATTGTTAAATAAAATAATGTAGCATACCGTTCAATTAACATCAACATTTACCAAAGAAAAGAATATCATTTTATATTGTATTATACAACATGATATGTGATGGTCCTAAATACAAAACTCAGCATGATGCTATTTATGGAAAACATTTTATAATACAACAGTCAGCATTTTGATTTACATTCCCCAGTCAAACAGTAGCATTGTTCAATTTTTTCATCAATTTCAAAGAGTGGTAGAGAATCATAGAGGAAAAAGAGGATTTATTTGCACGGAATAGACGGTTAGGTGCAAATCATATATTCAACTCATTGATAAAGTCTGCAGCTATGTTCTACACATTGAATGTTTTTCAATGGTTTCAAGAACAATACCAAAGATCTTTTGAATTCATAACACAATGCTTAGATGAGAAGACAACATATCTTATATATAACATGGAGAAGACAAGCGATCAACATCTTGTTCACATCAATATTCAAGAGTGTTCGATTGAACGCACGTACAACATGTGGAAAAATATTGGAATGTTGTGTTGTCATTCAATACGCACGATAGATGTATTAATAGCAACAGGTTGTGCACAATTCAAAAACTTCCTACACAAATGCATATCGAATCAACAATTCCGAAAGACAAAAGAAGCATAGAAAGATGAATAAGAAAGATAATCAGCATGATAAAAGCAAGGAAATTGATTTTTTTGTCAGTTTATACATGATTTGGTTGCAAAATATTATGAACAAAGTATAATAAACACTTACATATACAAGATCAATCATTTTATTGAATACCACCAATAAGAATTTTCTACATGTGTGTTTAGCATGTTAATGTACTATCAAATGATATGAATGTTATCCAAAAAATGCTGCAAAAGGACATTGTAAATACTTTCCACCAAAACATATTGCCTAATAATAAAAACATAAAATGATGGATAAGAATTTACATTTACTGAATTCGGCATTTTATTTAACATCATCAAGCATTTCCATGTATTGCTATTCAACATTTTACTGCTACCATTCTAAACCTGCTAGCATTTATATATACTGTGCCAAGCATTTTACTAGATACGGTAAGCATATTTTGTTCTAACAAGCAACATGAAAAATTGGGAATTAATATGCATTACTATTTCAAGTTTCGGATTCCAACAGAACCACTAGTGACAAACTAAACATTCCAACAGAACTGCAACCAACAAACTTACACTTGCAATCAGAAATTGGGAATTAATATGCATTACTATTTCAAGTTTCGGATTCCTCGTAGCATGTGAAAAATGGATGCAGTGTCATTATAAATGCAAATATGAAAATCTGCAGTTTCTTGGCTCAAAATTATAACAACTTCCAAAAACCTCTCTCAATATCATGGAAATAGGAATTTACTGTGTTTGTTTGAGGGATTTGTTTGGATTTCTACTATTCATCATATTTCCCCCCCCCCCCCAAAAAACATCAAATCAAACACCTATTTTTTATTTTTTATATTATACTAAAAATCAATTTTACATTCAAAATATCACATCAACACTTATTTATATCACATCATACAACTATTCAAATTCAAAATTTTTACTATTCAAATCCCAATCCAAAATCCAAACCCCCAAACAAACACGAAATCGAAATTCATCATCAATTTTTCCACTGTCTATATTATTATTGCTAAGGAGCAGCATAACCAGAGCTTTAGTCAACCATTATAATGAGATAAATAAAACATTAATTGCATAAAAGTACTGCTCATAACATAGTAAAAACATCATATTTAACAATTTTATCTTCTCGTACAACACTAGCATAATAGCAAAAAGAGACAAAAAGTACACAAAGTACACCCAACAATAAATTAGTCAAAATAAAAGCTACACATAAACATAAATATAGTTAAAAAGCCATAAACCACTCAATCCCATTGTTCAACACTCACCACAACCACCCAAAAATTTGCAAATCATCCACTCAACAACACAATAACCACAAAACTCTAACAAATCTCAAAATTCATCTACAGGGACATGATTAAGCACGATTCCAGTGCTATTAAGAGCCTGCTGAACGGAGTAGGAGATCCTAATGGTGTCTCCGTAGGCAGAGACGGAGACGGGTCCACGGTTAAAATAGGGCTTCTCTACAAACTATAACATATGTAGAGAAACAAGAATTGGACAATGATTTAACTTAAATAAGATAGAAGAAGAGAAACGTTTAACTTAAATTGCATTGAAATCTGTTGGATCCTACGATTCGAAATTCCAAAATAGCTCATCGATTTCGTCAGCGTGGGTTCCAGAAGTACTCCAGAGAGCCAATCCGTCGTCGGGCAATGCAAATTTCACACGATTACTGAACTAAACTACGATAATATACGGAAAGCGAGTAAATAAATTGCAGAAAGCATATAATCAAAATTAAATTGCATAAACAAAAATAAAACAAGGAAGAAAAATATGAAAAGATGCGATTTGTTCTGTTGTGCGTGTGTGTGTTGGGTTTCTTTTTCCTACTTGTAATCCTAACCTAGAATAACCACTTCTCCCACTAACAGGGGTGGTTACAAATTATTCCCACTTCTTTCTATCTCTTTTAACCACCAAGTAACCTTCTTCCATCAGTTCCCGGCGGCTTCCATTGCCTCTGAATCGAGTTCCATTCGTCTTGAGCATCTTCCATCGTTCTTGGACCAAGTTTCATTCGCTCTGGATTTCTTCCATTGCCTCAAGATTAGACCTGCAGCCTACCCTAATTTGTTTCCATCATACTCCTAGCCGATCTACAGGGATATGTTCCCGAGAGCCTTGAGTTACATGGAACCCTCATTCTTCTTCCTTCCGTTTTGACCCCTAAGACCTTCCATATAGGACCTATAGGTACCATGGTCTTCCATTGACATTATGAGGTTGCCGATTTAGGATTGATGGAGCTTGTCGTCCGAAGGTCTATGTAAGTCACATCTTCTTGCTCCATGGAAGCTCCGCAGCCTGATGAAAGTCACTATCTTCGACATTTAAGTCATTTTAGACTTGGAGTCCAACAAAATCATATGAAATGATGGACATGACATAACTTACCGAAATTTAGACACAAAGAGTGGTGACGAAATCACCTCCATGAACGTGTCCGGCCTCGAATAACGATGGACAATTGAAGAAGACGATTTGAAGACGAAGAGCGAGTGAAATTTTTTTAGTAGAAAGTAAAGAAAGATGGGAGAATGAAAAAATCGCTTCAACCCAGTAACTTTTGTAAATTAGAATTACTATCTTACCCCTATTTAATCTAAACCGTACGATTGTAATCTATTATGATGAACGACTTGTATTGTGTAAGTATGACCCATCAACACCGGATCCGTCTCCCTATCATATTTTATATATTGCAATATATTTTATCACATAATATATGTTGCACTATGCTTATATGACTAAATTAACATAAAACTCATGCCGGCATTTTTTGTATGTATAAGGTTTATGTTATTTTGTGTCAAACTGCAATATTACTTATTTTACATAATTTTTAATAAAAATATGGTATCAAGATATTATTTTAAAAAAAATTTAAATTAATAATATTTAATTTTAAACTAAAGTCACACAAATTAATAATAATTTTATATGTAAAATTTTGTAATGTAATTAATTATATCAACGATATTTTCCATTTTTTTTTAAAAAAATAATAATAATCAGGAAATATATTTAAAAAATAAAATAATTTAAAATTGAAAGATTAATTTCAAAGAGTATTATATTAACGTGTTGTATGCAGAAGGAAATATAAAAATGATTACAGTTAAAAACATTAGAAAAGAAGAAATGGTGAGGGTCAACGTCAACAAGCACAGTATTCATGCTGCATACGATACATTTACATACATACACATATACATACAGATGAGAGAGGAAGAGAGAGAGAGACGAGAACAGGAAACTGTGAGAGTGAGTCAGTCAGCTCGGGAAGGGAAGGAATTGGCGATAACATAATGTGCACATGGTGCGCTGCCTGCATTCATCCCTCTCTCTTCCCCAATCATCGCTCGCCAGGCCTCTTCTCTCTCTCTCTCTCTCTACCCAAAGTCTTCTCGTTCCCTCTCCCATTTTCCTTCTCTCTCCAATCCGCCATTGATTGATTGCTTGCTTGCTTGTTTCAGTCGATTCTTCGCTCTCTGTAGCTGAAAACGATTAAGTGCGTTTTTTTTGTAGAGGATGGACCGTCACGATCACACGATAACCGCAGGTTTGACATTTCTGTTTTCGATTTAATCTACTGGAGCATCTTTGTTAAGTTTAGCTGTGAGTACCTGTTGATTTTCTTGGATTCGATTCATTACTGCTTTGCTTTTGGTCACTCGGAGAACAAAGTAGCTGTAGACTTTTATTACGAGAATTTAAGTGGATTCTATGGTGCAGAAATCCCGACGGTTGATAGTTTTTCTGCCTTATGTTTATTGATTTGTTATGTTTGTTGGATTAGAGTACCTAATTTCTTGTTCGTCTTCTTCTTTCATTTTTCCTAATTGTAACTGATCACTGATGTGGATTTTCGAGTTAATGCTAATTTCTGATTGGGAATTTACGGTGTGTCTTTTCGTATACTTGATTCTTGAAGGTCATGAGGTCCATAATGTCCACTTATGCCATATATGTGGTTGGCCTTTTCCGAATCCCCATCCCAGTGCCAAGCACAGAAGAGCTCATAAGAGGGTTTGTGGAACAATTGAAGGCTACAAGATTACTCACTCGGAAGAGCATGATCACAATACGGCTGTTTCGGAGGACGACGACCATGCCTCGAATGAGGATGATCATACCCCAAGTGAGAGGCTCTTATTGGAAAGTTTATATGTATCCTGTATTTATTTTGGTGGGCTTCTTTGAAAAATGATAATAGATTTGTTGTTGCTGTATGTAAAGGTCCAAATCCGGCGAAGAAAGATGTTGAGAAGTTTGGTAGTGGCGGAGGGGTTGGAGAAGTGTCGAATAGATCGGAAGATGATGTTTTCACTGATGCTGTTACTGAATTTTCGGACAGTGGAATCAGTCCTCAGGCGCTGGAGCGAGTTGGAAGTGCGACGGAGCTGAATGAAGGTCCAGAGAAAAAGACTTTCCAGATTGATTCTCATGGCCTCGAATCCTTTAAGGCCGAAGAACCTGTTGGTGAGCATTCAAAGTGGTGTATTATCTAACAGCTTAAGTTTGTTGTTGGTCATTGCCCAGTTGATTACTTTTTGTAGTCCTTAATTTCGATGAATGTATAGAATGAAGATTCTCGTATTAGATCATTTTCTTCAACTCCTAAGTCTCTAGAATTTCTAGTCCTTCACAAAGTTAGGTTTCCATAAATGATGTACTTCTCTATGTGGCTTGGGGTTGATATTAAATCGACATGCTTCAATCTGGTTGTGGTTTGGGTTTGATATTAAATAGACATGGATAAATCAGGTTGTAGGAAAACACATGATGCTTAATTTAGCAAATAACTTAACTAATTAGATGCCAAAATTTTCTATTGTTGTCTCTCTTGAAAACATCAAAGGTCTTATAACTTTACAAGAATTGAATTTATATCATTGTGTTTCCGTATAACTTTCTTGAATCATTACTCAAAATTTTCAGTGCTGTGTTGACATTTATAACTTTTTGGTGCATTCCTTTATAAACAATATGATTGTGATGATCAGGTTTTCTGGCTAAGAGCTTGGTGTTGTTAGTGTAATTTGACTCTGTAGGATTATGGGTTTGATGCAATTTTCCTTAGAAAAGGAATACAGCAATATGTCTAACTGGCTAAACAATGGGTTTTCGTTAGCTTGCATTCTGTTGTAATCATCTTTAATTCTTTTGGAAATTTAGTTTTCATATCATGCTTTCAATTTCTATGCTGTGTGACGTGATTATTTGTTCTATAGTGGCGGGTATTATACTTGTTCTCTAATATTTGGAATATATTCTTTGGTATGACGAAATCTTTCAAACAACTTTCTTTATGTGTACAATCTTGGAACTCATTGGGTCTTAAAAGTATCTTTTGATGTACTCAGATAAAACTGAGCTATACAATGGTGCAACCAACGAGGAGGAAATGCAAAATCCTGGAGCTCCAACTACTAACATTCAATCAGGTATTGATTCATCGATAACAGATAGAGCTGAAGCAATTTCTGTTGGGCTTGGAAATAGTTTAGAGGAAGATGTCCTGAAAACTGAGACTCCAAGAGATGTAGTTGAAGATGATGGAAAGAACATCGGTGGAGAAATTCAAAATGAGCAGAAGAAAGTTGGACAGGATTCTGATAGACGGGGAGAAAATCCAGCGTCTGTAAATGGTGATTCCAAAAGTGTAGTTTCAGATCATGCATTGCTTGCAGTTGAGAGCGATGAAAAATTTCATGATGAGTTGGTTTTGAACCCGGTTGAATTCAATTTGCTCCCTGAAACTGAAACACTTGGAAGCAAGGAAGCTTATTCAGAGATCGAAAGCTCAGCCGTTTGTGCTGAAATAAATTGCTCCACTGGAACTTCTGGTGAAATTGCTCCTGCCAAGGAGACTAAAGGAAACATCGATGCATATGCAGGGTTAGAACAAATTTCTGCTGCTGAAGACGTTAAGTCTGTTGAAATTGCTGGCGATATTCTGCACGAGGATAATCTCAGGACACTGCCAGTCAAACCTTCTGAAAATGCAGTCTCTTCAGCTGCTAGTGACCCCTCCAATGATGCCGAATCTAACAAGCCAGAAATCAAACAAACATCCAGTTTCACTGAAGTTGAAACTGTTGGAAATGATGCCAGTAAGGAAGAGAAGTGCGAAGTAGGAGAAAATGAGCCTGAGAATGAGAACCATAAATCCAAGGATAATGATCTGGATAGAGCAGTCGCATTGCCTGTTTCTGCAAATGGTACTGTTGATGGTGGACATGATCAGACTAAAATGGTCGGGGGAGATGAGAGGTACACCTCAGAAAAGTCTGACACAAGGAGTTCAGGTGCTGTGATTGAGAAGGGTGGAGGAGATTCTGAGGAGCTAAAAGTGATTCCAGAGTCTACAATACATATGGATAAGCCTGCAGAATTTCCATGCTCGACTGAAGAAGATAGCATTGCAAGAAATGTGGAACAAGTGTCGAAGAAGCCCAATTCTGGCTCAGTGGAATCCAATCTTGAGAAGTGTGTCGAAGGACAAAGCAGTCATAAGCTGCTCGGTGAAGAGTTGCATTCAGTTAGCTCTGCCAGCATTGATGCAGAACTAAATCATGATGTCAGTATATTGGATAAGCAATCCGGAGCTGCAGCCTCAGAGTATACCGTGTTCCAAGTGATTTCTCAATTGCCAAAGGATATTCATGAGCCGAGCAATGCTAAATTCGAGTCTGCACCTGTTGCTGGAATGGTGAAAGAAATAAAAGAAGTTAATGTTGTTGTAGCATCTGAAAGCACTCCCGAGCAACTGAGTTCAAAGGAGTCTACATTTATTGATTCTGAGCTATCGAATGAATACTCAGCCAAAGAAGACAGTTGCATTGAGAAAGGTGTTAGAGAATTCGACAATGATCAGGTGAATCTTCATGTCAATGCTGCACTTCATCCAGAAATTTCTGAAAGCCCCAAGAAATTGTCCAGTGAAGCTTTGCCTGAAGTTAAGGAGAGACTCATTGGTGAAACTTCTTCACTTGGTACTGGAGAAAACCATGCCATTAAAGATATTAGCATATCAAAACATTTGGGCATTGTTCGGAATGCAGAGCAGACTTCTGACAGTAACATTGCTGCATCAGAGAAATGTTCTGCCACACCAAGTTTAGATGAGGCTGTAGGTTCGGCGGCGTTCCTTTCTCAGGAGTCACACAGCACATCTGCTCCAGTTGATGAAAAGAACATCATCAATGTTGAACCTCCTACCTCCGACAATTCCAAGTCCTTGCAAGATGAAGTTGAGGACAAGGTGATTCCTGTAACAGCAACGGATCTGCAAGATAATTCTGGTATTAAACCCGAGGGCATAGATGGCAACTGTGGGGTGGTTTCAGGTGAACTCAATGCATTCATTATTTGATTTGAAATTCCAAATATTGTTTACTTATTGTACGCTTCATTAGCAGATTCATGCGAATCCAACGCACCTGTTTCCGGAACAAATTCAACATTGCAAGATTCATTAACAAGAAGTTCCCAGCAGCATATAACCATACCTGAGGAAGCTCGTCCCAACAAATCACAAGACTTGGAGCCCCCTTCATTCATGACCTTGGTTCAGTCTGGAGATACGCACGAGCACACTTCTGCTGCCTCAGAGATTGAAGCAGTGCCCAACAACCAGCATCCGAAACCTGAGACTCTCCAAGCCGGGTGGTTTCCTTCTCTAACTAATGTGGTGAATGAATCCCAAGGCAGGAAGCAAAATGAGGAAATAATTTCCAAAGTCACAAATTCGAGCCCAGTGAAGCATCACAGCCCTCTGAAAAACCTACTGAGCGAAGCCAAGTCACCAACAGCTAAACAAGATCCAGCCCCAAATACCAAAAATGAGATGGAACCCATAAACAATGGAGCTGGCGCAGCAGCGACTACTCTAACTACTGCCTCTGCAGGTTCAGAAAACGATCACGATGCCCAAGCTCGTAAGGAAATTGATGGTTGGAATTCGCCAGCAAGATACCCGATAGAGACCAAGAAAGAAAAGAAGAAGGGGAAGCCCTATTGGGTGCCATTTATGTGTTGCTCCTCCATACATAAAGACCTATGAAAATGATTCGGTAAGTTTGCTATACCCGACTCATGGTATCATTGACCAACATACTTCTGCTGCGTTATATTTCTGGCTTCATATACTCCGTTAAGTTTGTTGATTCGAGTGTGGTATATAAACGTGAGTGATCTATAGGGTGTTCGCCTACTTTTCCTATGTATGTCTACGTTGCTTGCCCGTAAGTGATACCGATATATAAACTTGAAATGTTGTGAAGATTGAAGAGAGTTTGGTTGCTTGAAAGAAGTTGGTGCATTGGTGATGTTATAGAGTAATGAGTTTGTTGTTGCTATGGAGCTTGTTTTGGTATTATAAGCTTATGAGATATGTGTCACTTAATACTTTATGCATCATCATGTATTGTTGTTTGATATATTTCCATGTAATCTATAATACATGATATATTTCCATGCAACCTATAATTGATTAAAACAATCATATGCTAATAAATCTCAGTTACCATCCTAACCGAGGTGTTTTTAACTATCGTCTTAATAATCACATTAAATTTAACACAAGTGGTTTCCAATAAGGGCAACGGTTAGGGTACTGATTACCCCTAAACCGTCCTATTAACAATTTAATTTAATGGTGATGGTTTTTTTAAAGAGTAGAATAGTAATTTTAGTTCATACATAAAATCACATGCAGCCGCGCACATGGTCTATTCGTTCCATTGAAACGATTTTTTCCCTAATATGATTAAACACACTAATCTTACAGCTAATTCTGCGTGTGTCAGTAAATAACTACGATCAATATTTTTATAATTTTTTAATGAAAGAATATCATTTAAGGTATATAGCAACATTATACATAAATTAAGCACATATATAACAAAATGAAAGCACAAGACATGATTTCATTTTAAACTTAAATTACATTGTTATAAACAAAACAACTCTATATATCTAGAAAATCATCCACAGTATAGCGAAAAGATAATACATTAGTTATATCTAAATCCTAAAAACCCTTACGTAGCTTTCTTTATGTGTGTCAGAATAAGTAATAATTACATATTTTAGTAAAAAAAATAATATTTTATATATAAAAAAAAGATAAATAGCACACAGTATACATAAATTATGGACATGTATAACAAAATAAAAGCATAAGACATGATTTCATTTTAAACTTAAATTACACTACTATAAACAAAACAACAACTCTATATATCCAGAAAAGCACCCACATTATAACGAAAAACATTACATTTGTTATATCTAAACCCTAAAAACGCTAAAGTATTTTTCTTTATGTGTGTGTCAGAATAAATAATGATTACATATTCAAGTAAAATCTAAATACTATTATTCAATAATTTTATTAAACTAATAACGTATCATTATTTTAAATAGCAAACATTACATAGAAAAACATCACATATCTAACACCATAATAGTACACACGCAACAATATTATACTTCATCCGTCCCATTGGAAGGTTGCCATTTCTTATTTTCGTCCTTCCCAAAACAATGTTACCATTTCCTAATTTAGTAATTGTACTACCTACCTAACATACTAAATACCCTTCCAACTTATACTATATTACACAAATGTTATTACTTTTATATTACACAATACTAATAGGGGTATTTTCGTCTTTTTCACTACAATCCATTATAATACTAATATTCGAAAATCTACTAGAGTATAATCTTTTCATATGATCATATAAACAGAACAACACGATATTGGCATAAAATCACACGCTATGTAGCAAAAACACAAGAAATATATTTACATATATATTAAAATAAATAAACAATTTTTCAGTGTGTCAATACAAATTAATAATTATTACATTTTTATAAAATAATAAAAATATCATACTATATATATATATATAGATAGATGAATAGCACCCATATAAATAAATAAATCAGATAAATAATGAAATAAAAGCACATATACAAACAAACAAGCAATACAATATCTCTAGAAAATCACACATATTGCAACTAATACTGCAAAAGCACATATACAAACAAACAAGCAATACAATATGTCTAAAAAATCACACATATTGCAACTAATACTGCAATTTTTTAATTTGTCAGTAAAAGTTAATAATTATTACATTTTTATATTTTTTTAAATAATTGTGTTAAGATAATAAGAATATCATACTTCGTATATAAATAGATAAATAGCATACATAATACATAAATAAATCGCACATATAACTAAATAAAATTTTAATATCTTTTTATAATTTTTATAATTATATTTTTATATATTTTTTTATAATTTCATTAAACTAATAACATATTACTATTTTTAAATTGAAAATATTACAAAAAAAAAATCACATATATAATACAAAAATAGCACACAAACAACAATATACTATATAAACAAAACAACAATATTATTCTGATGTAAAACCACACATATTAAAACAAATAAGCACAATTTAAAAACCCTAAAGTACTTTTTTTTTTTTTTTATGTATTTCAGTAAAATTTAAATACTATTATTCAATAATTTTATGAAATTAATAAGGTATCATTATTTCAATAGTAAACGTTATGTAGAGAAACAATATAGAAAAAATAATTTTTTCACATAGAAAATGTATCATCATTTTAAACAACAAACGTTACATAGAAAAACATCACATATCTAACACCATAATAGTACACACAACAATATTATATAATTTTTTCACAAGATCATATAAACAGAACAACACAATATGCTTAGAAAATCACACACCACACAACAAAAAAACACAAGAAATATATTTAAAATTATATATAATAAAAAATTAAATAATTCATAAAAACCCTAAAATTAATCTTTTTGGCCGTACTGCATTTTTTATAGTGTAAGTGAAAATTAATAATTACTATATTTTTAAATAATTTTATTAAAATAATAAAAATACATTACTTCGTATATAAATTTATAAACAACACATATAATAAATAAATAAATCACACATATAATGATAAAAACATGCTCGTACAAACAAAACAACAATACGATATGTCTAATAAATCATACGTTGCAACCAAAAAACACAAAAAATATATTTAAAAATATATATAATAAAAAATAAAATAAACCCTAAAATAATCTATGGGCCGTATTGCAATTTTTTAATTTTTCAGTAAAACTTAATAATTATTACCTTTTTATATTTTTTTAAATAATTTTGTTAAAATAATAAAAATACCATATTTCATATATAAATAGATAAATGACACACATAATAAATAAATAAATCAGACATAACGAAATAAATTTTAATATCATTTTATAATTTTTATAATTATAATTTTATTTTATTTATTTTTAATTTTATTAAACTAATAATATATTATTATTTTAAAACTAAAAATATTACAACAAAAAAATCACATATTTAATACAAAAATAGCACAAAAAAATAATATACTATATAAACAAAACAACAATATTATACAGATACAAAAGCATACATATTAAAACAAAAAAGTACAAAGAAATATATTTAATTATATATAATAAAAAAAATACTCTTCTGTCTCGATACAATAGTCTTATTTATCACTTTTTTCTGTCTCAAAATAATAGTCTCATTTGATAAATAACTGTATTAACATAAAACTATCCCTTACTTTTTCATTATTATTACACAATTGTCACTATTCTTTACACTAATATACTCACAAGGCATAAAGGCAATTTACTCATATTTTTTTACCAACTACCAATATAATATCAATATTTCTTAAATCACGTGTCCAATACAACTAAAATCATACTTTTGGGACAGAAGGAGTATATTATATAAACCCTAAAACTAGTCTGTTGGCCGTATTGCAATTTTTTCAGTATTCCTTAAAAGTAATGATTATGCATTTATAATTTTTTTACTAATTTTAATGAAATTATAAAAATGACATATTTCATATAAATAGGTAAATAACACATATACTAATTAAATAATCACATATATAAAATAATAAAAGTATTTAATAAAAATAATTTATTAAAATAATAAAAATATTTTATTTCATATAAACAGGTAAATAACACACATTACAAATACATAGATCACATATCATATATCATATATCATATATATTTGACAAGATATTATAATTTCTGCGCTCACGTAATTTTAAAATTTTATTTTATTTTTTAAAAAAATATTAAGTTTGGATAATTAATTAAAATTGTTAGAATCAACAAATAATTTAATAAAATTAGAATTTATTAAAATAATAAATAAAAAATTTAATCTATGGATAAAATTATAGTTTTTCATATCTATATATATACATATGCACACATACGTAAACATTGTGGCAAAATAGACACAATAAAAAACATTGCGCGGATTCTTTTTGTTTCTCTACTATTCTTTGTTTTCGATTTTCTTCTCCTCCTTCAAATTTTTTTTTTTCTTTTTTTTACGGTTTGGTAAAGAAGAAGAGGAAGGATAAAAAATTAATAAAAGAATAAGAATGATAAAAGGAAAGAAGAAGGAGAAACATGAAAGAGGAAGTATAATACTCCCTCCGTCCCATATACCATGTCCACGTTGTCGTTTTGGTACGTCCCACATACCATGTCACTTACCATATTTGGCAAATAATTATACACTTTAAACATAATTACAATTCTTAATCTAAAATTATTTTAATCTAATTATACACATATAACCCTCACCCCACCCCCACATCGCATCTTATCTTCTCAAATCACTTTCTCTCTCCCCGATTCGAGAAACCCTAACCTCCGCTCACTTCTCTCTCGATCTGGTGCTCCGGTCACCTCAAATCGATGGGCTCGGTCCACCGATCGCCGACGCTTCCTCCCCCGAGCTCACGACACCCTAGCCCTAAGTTGGGGTCCTCTCCCTGCTGCCCCAATTGTGGCTATTTTCCTAGTGAAATCCCTAAATCGTCTGATGAGCTCTTCCCCGTCGATCCGGCTTCTAGCGACGGTATTTTCCGTCGATATGATGGGGAGAAGGTTAGTCCGAGTGAGGGTTTCTCATTTTGGGTACCAAACAGTGAATCTCCGTTTGATCTAGGGTTGGACATCGATGTTGCACCTCTAGGGCGGAAGAAGGCGCCTGCAACTTCTTTCCGGCTTCAGCCGTCGCCGGAGAAGGCCGGATTGTTTGATAGCGGTGCTAGATCGGTCCCGAAAATTGGCGATATCTAGTTCGAACTTGGGTAATGCCCAGACTCTGAGGATGATCTCGAGGAATAGCATACCTCGTCCCTATTTCGGAAGTCTCGACAACTACGTCCCTACCGTGGACATTGGTGAGATCTAAACAAACTT